ATAAAAATTTAAAACAAAAACAAATGGTAGCAGAAAATTAAAACTCAAGAGAAAGGTTTGAAGATAGACTTAACAGAAATGTCACAGAAAGTAGAGAAAAAGGAAGTGGAAAACACGAATTCTGGGTTAAAAGGACCCATCTGGTACCCCTCACAATGAATGAAAATAAACACTCATCCTAGTGTACTAACGAGAAATTTCAGAACTGGGGACAAATAGAAGATTCTATACATTTTCAGGTGGGGAGGGGAGAACCTGGGCACATTCAAAAGATGGGACATCCAAATGACTCAGCAATCTCAACAGCAACACCAGAAGCTACAAGAAACTAAAGCAATGCTTTCAAAATTTGGAGGAAATAATTTCAACCTCAAATTCCATATTAGCAAACAATCAACCTAGCATGAAGATTAAAAGCTATGTATTATATTTTATATATTATATAAAAAGAATAAGACAACTATGGGTTGGAGAGTCCTAACATTGCTCCTTAGCAGTTCTCTCCCAAATTACCAACATTTGTATTGGCTTGAGCTTCCAATTCTGCAAACTACACTCTAGATGCCTGGTCAGGGAACTCCAGCGGAGTTCTCCCCTTCGGGACCAGAGAAATGAGCAAGTCAGCAGGAAATCTGCAGCCAGCTGGCGGTCCAGAGGTGAGATGCTTTGGATTTTGTAGCCGCCTCAAATCAGAGCACAGAGCTGTCTCCTCTGTCTAAGGCAGGCCCCCAAGTCTGCATGAGTCTGGGCCTGGAGCTAGAGGGGATAGGTTGACTACTTGTGAGCCACCACCATGGCTGTGTCCCATCCGAAACCTCTCCTACCCTGCCCACGCTGTCACTCCAGAGACAGAAGTACTCAGATCTCCTCTCTCAAAACCTCTGCTGTCCTAAGATACTAGTCTGCTCCATAATGATTTCTTTACCTGTTTGTCTCCATGCTTGCTAACCCCACTGCAGAAGGTGGCATTCTTGAGGGTAAGGACCTCATCTTGCTTTTCTCTGAATCCCTAGCCTCTAACGCAGACCGTGGTAGTTGGGGCTAGCCATGAATGGGCCTTCATCTGAAAAAATCCACCCATTATTTGTCCCTTCTTTCAACCCTGGCACGCATAGTTCTGGGACAACAGTAGACAAATTACACAACGTTCCTTGGACTTACATTCTAGAGAAGGAGAGAAACAATCGAACATAACTAACGTGGGCACTGGGCAAATGCCCACGTGGCCCTGGGATAGTCTGACCTTGTGCTGGAACAGAGCTCGGTGTTCTTGCGGCTTATCAGCCATAAACAGGGGTCCTCACTGTCATCTGTCACTCCGTTAGTTTAGAATCTTCCAGCAAGGAACCTGTATAGGTGTATTTTAGTGCAACTAATATTAGTACCCATGAGCAAACTATTGAATATGTAGGAGGAGTATGATTTATCCCTTAAGGGACTTGTTTTCTGTTTCTAAGAAAGAGACATAAAAGATAGCATTTTAATAAAATGTAGAAAGTTCTGTCTGTGCTAGAAACCAAGGTGCTGAGGGGTGTAGAGGACATTGAGAGAGGACTTCCTCGGTCTGGCCTCATCAGGATACCTGTCAGCTCTGCCATCACAGACAGGAAGACAAGACCATCAGCGCCCGCCCAGGAGTCCTCAGACGGGGCGGACAGAGACTGGGAAGCTGTTGGGCAAATCTCGGGGCTCCTGGCTTCAGGGCTCTCCGCAGTTCCATAAATACCGACAGGTCTGTCACGGAGCAACGCCGTGAAGTAGTTTCAACATGCCTGCTGGAGTCCTCGGCCCCGCTCTCCCCTCCCCCGCCACACCTCAGTCTCCTGCTTTTTTATGCTCCCTTACTCCCTCCCCACCATGCCTTGTCCCCCTAAAGGCTACTGGTCTTCCCATCCTGGCTTGTATCTCCCTATACTCCCTCCTTCATACAACACATGCACATCTCTTTAGGGAGCTGTATAAGGCAAGGTCTTGTTTGTGTAACTGGGATGTTGTACAAGCAGGACCTGTGGGATAGGTCCAAGCATGTTCGTTTTTAATCCTCCACTGTCCCTTTAAAATGCATTCAGTGGAGAAATTTTGTCCCCTCCTAATGGATAGAGACTCCCGCAGTTCCGTGGCTGTGCTTGGTTCATGTAGAAATAGGAAGCCTTAGTCATTTTACATGGCAAAACTCAGTGTCTGATAAAAAATCAGAATATCCTGTTTAATGCATTATTAATTCAAAGCGCAGATTTCTCCTGATTCTCCCCCAGCTCATATCCTTCTCAGGTGGGAGGCAGGAAGGCAAAGAGGGGTGGGGGATGTTCTTACTTGGCTGGTGCTCTTGGCTATTGTTCACTTGTTCTGGTGGCTGTTTAAAGTGGCCTCTTGATCTCCAGAACATCCCTGTAGGTTCCTGGGAGGCCTCTCCGTTCACTCATGCGATTGCAACCCTACAGCCCAGGTGAGGAGGTTCTTCTCTGAGTGGCTGTTCTCACTTCCCCTTGGCATCCGATTCCTAGCCCCCATCCTCACAGACCATCTGCAGCAAGGGACCACTCACTTTGGGGACCACCTTGTGGACAGGATTCCTTTTCAAAAATTCCAAGCGAGGATGCCTGGGTGGCTCAGTCGGTTAAGCATCTGCCTTTGGCTCAGGTCATGATCCCTGGGTCCTGATATCGAGTCCCACATCGGGCTCCCTGCTCAGTAGGGAGCCTGCTTCGCCCTCTACCTTTCCCCCCTGCTTAAGATCTCTTTCTCTCTCTCTCACATAAATAAATAAAATTAAAAAAACTTTCAAGCACTATTCCTCTTGGAGGCTCCGCCTCTGGTGCTGGGCTTCTTACACCCTGGTCCCTGTCCTAGAGGATTGCACGTTCTTCCCAGCTACTTCTCTCTTCTCTCTCCCTCTGCCATGTCCCTTCCAGGCCAATGGCCAGGGTCTTAAGTGGCTTTGGCATTACACACAAAATGCAATGTGAATGGTGTTCTCTGGGGCTGTGCCAAGGGCTGAGGCTGCGTGGGCGTGTGCTGGGCCCAGTGTGTGTGTTTCTCAGTTCCTAGAGGCAGATAATCGGGGCCCCTGAGGGTCTGTTGAAGCTGGCTCTCCCTAGGTGTGAGGCAAAAAAGGTGACCCTCTCAGAGCCCTCTTCTTGAAATGGGGGAATGGGACTCACCCAGAGGCGGCAGCTTTCTCCCAAGAAATCACTTTACAGGGCGCTTGGGTGGCTCAGTTGGTTAAGCGACTGCCTTCGGCTCAGGTCATGATCCTGGAGTCCAGGGATCGAGTTCCGCATAGGGCTCCCTGCTCGGCGGGGAGTCTGCTTCTCCCTCTGACCCTCCTCCCTCTCATGCTCTCTGTCCCTCATTCTCTCTCTCGCAAATAAATAAAATCTTAAAAAAAAAAAAAAAAGAAATCACTTTACAAAATCCTCCCCTTCTTCATGAGTCCTCCGCAGTTTTGTAACTTTTTAATAACTTCCTTGTGGGGTTGTTATTTAACGGACTCTTGACCTCTGATATTTAACAATTGAATGCATATGACACAGCTCCCTATTTAACATTTTGTTGCACGTCTGTGTTTGTTCTCAGTGAAATCCAATTATTACACTGTAACTTGCCCTTTTCATTTGTCAGTATCATGTCTGTCCCTACAGGCCCATAAATATAGACTACATTCTATCTTTTGCACAAAGAGATATAAATATATAAAGGAATTTATATAAATGGCAGGGCTGGTCCCACTAACGTGGGACAAACAAGGTGGACAGGTGGCAGAACTTAAGGAAGTGCTCATGTCAAGGTCAAGCCCATTACACTTTTTGTCTTTCATGCAGCCCTTTTATTTTTAGGAGGCAGTGTATTATAAAGAGCACAGACTCCGGAACCAGGTTGCCCAGGTTTGAATCCTGACTCTACCACTTGTTAGCTGTGTTAACTCTGGCAACTTTACTTTCTGTACTTCAGTTTCAGGATCTGGTAAATGGGTCAGTAATAGAATCTAACAGTATTTACCTATATCTATCTATCTATCTATCTATCTATCTATCTATCTATCTATACCAATAGATATAAATAATGTTTATATATTTAATTTATATATGTATATAAAATTTGGAGAGAGAGAATATATGTATATATAAATATATGTAAGTATGTACATATATAGACTGTGTGTGTGTGTGTAGAGAGAATACATACACACATATGTGTGTATCTATATCTGTCAGTGTCTGATACCTCAAAGACCTATATCAGTGCTAGCTATTTTGATTATTATTACTGTTAAATATACTTGCCTAATCCTCCTCTCTGTTCTTCCCCCCTTCAACTGCATGAGTTCCCCCCCGACCCCTCAAATGACAATTCATGTTAACAACTTGAGAATGTTCTCTTAAAAAAAAAAACTTTGTGCTCTGGGCGCCTGGTGGCTCAATCGGTTGAGCACCCGACTCTTCATTTCGGCTCAGGTCATGATCTCAGGATTGTGAGATCAAGCACCTCCCTGGGTTCCACACTCCAGGTGCTTGAGGATTCTCTCTCTCTCCCTCTGCACCTCCCCTGCTTGCACTCTCTCTCTCTCTAAAGAAATAAACAAAATTTTTAAACAAAAACAAAAAAACCTCCATGCTCGTTGACATATCAACTTTGTCATATATTAAATTCTCATTTGAAATAAAAATCTACTTCTGGACCATTTTTTCTGTCTAACAGATCTATTTGCTTATTCCTATGTCAATATAATATTGATTTGAGTACAGTAACTTTTAACTATGTGTGGATGTTTAGAAAAACAAGGCTTCATGTTTTTCTTCCAAATTTCTCTTGGTTATTTTCAGCTATTCGTTCTTCCAGGCGAACTTTAAGATAATTTTATCCAATTTCAGGGTGAAGAAAATTTTGTCAACATTCTCATTGAAATTATAAAGTTACTTAACAATGATACAGGAATTAATTTTTATGATATTAAATCTTCCCATCCATAGAAAGACATATCTGTTCCCTTATTTAGAACTCATTTTATATCTTTCAAATACATTTTAAGGTTTTCTTTATAGAGATACAACGCTTTCATCATTATATTTATTTGCGTGAATTTTACAGATAGCTTTTGTCACTATTATGAACAAAGTATTTTTTACTATTTCTTTCTCTGTATGAAAAGCAGCATATTAATTTTTGTAGACTCATCTTACATATAGCTACTTTGTTAAATTCCTTACCTAGATAAAAAAATTATGTCATCAGCAAGAGACAATTTTATTTTTCCTCTCTTAATATGTATTCCAATTATTTCATTTTCTTGCCTGATTGCATTTGCTAAAACCTCCACGGCACTGTTCAAGGAAAATAGCAGAGCTGTCATGCTTGTCTGGTTTCTGATGGTAATTGAAATGGTTTCAGAATTGCTATTTAGGATGATAGTGAATGAGACTATAAACAGCCTGTAACATATTTAAGTTGATCCTTATCCTTATCTTGTTTAGAATTCTTTTGAAAAATGGTGGCTGAACTTCATTAACTTTATTAACCTTTTCAAAGTCTATTGATACGACCACACAGATCTTCTCTTTTAATCTGTCGTGGCAATCAACTTCATGCATACATTTCTTGATATTTGGATCACCCCCACATTTCTAGACTAAAACTTACTTAGTCATAGTGTATTTCCTTTGATACATTGCTGTATTTTATTTGCTACTATTGGATCATAATTTCTGTTTTTATATTCATAATGAGACTGGGCTATAGTTTTTCTTTCTGTACTCTAAAAGATTTTTGTGTTAACTGTATAAAATAAATTAGAAAACCTTTTATCTTTTTCTATATATGGAACAATGTAACTATTACTGGAATTATCTGTTTTTTAAAAGGTTGGATAGAACCCAACTCTAAAGCCATCTGTTTTCAGTAGCTGTTTTAGTGATAAATTTTTATTCACCTTTCCTGTCTCTACTGTGGTAATTGTGTATGTAAGTTTCCCATTTCTTCCTAATTTTGTTATTATGTATTTCATTGAAAATCAGCCATTTCCCCTAGAGATTTCCTTCCTTCCTTCCTTCTATCCCTCCTTCCTTCCTCCCTTCCTTCCTCCCTTCTTTCCTTCCCTCCTTTTTCCTCCTAAATTAGGTTCAAGAAAATTAGTCATTTATTAGTCTCTTCAAAGACCAGATTTGGGAATTATTTATCCTTTCAAATTTTTGTTGTTGTTGTTTTCTATTTAATCCCTACTTTATATTTTGGATGATTTTGCTATACTTTCTTCCTCCTTTTGATAGATAAATACAACCTCAATTTTTAGATTTATTTTTTTAAAGGCATAAAAAGTTTTTGCTATGCGCAGAGATATTTGCAGAAAGTATAATCCTTTACATTGCTTTCTAGATCATTTATACTTTTTTTTCTAATTTTATTGACTTGTGATAGATAAAATGGCTTGTGAAAGTTCTACTTTTTCTTTGTGATTTAAGGATTCTATTGAGGCCAAAAGTTCTACTTTTTCTTTGTGATTTAAGGATTCTATTGAGGCCAAAAGTTCTACTTTTTCTTTGTGACTTAAGGATTCTATTGAGGCCAAGTGAGAAAAGACACACCTTGGTATATTTTGTTTATTTTTGCCTTTACATTTCCAAAATTGAGGTCTTTGCTTTGATTCTGTTTTTATCTGGTTAGTGAATTCTCAGGTGGTTCTTGTTGGATGCAATATATACGAGTTTGCCCATTGGACTTAGACGATATGACAGCCCTAGGTGTGTGGGTGATATATACACCAATTTCCTGCCAGTTCTCAAATATAGTTCTTACACAGTGACCAGAGAATAATAGCTGGGAAAAGGATTCTTGTATTGCAAGGTTTTTTTCTTTATAGTCCATAGGCATTAAATTACCATAGTAATTTATAGTAATTGGTAGTAATCTGCTACCAATCTGAAACTCTTTATAAATAGCTTGTCTTTACTGTCTGGAATCTTGTACTATTGTTTCTCTAGCCTCCAACCTATTTTGCTTCAGTTGTTCCTCTTCTAGACTGTCTCCATTACCCTAAGAGTGCATTTCAAGGTAGAAGGCCAACATGAAAAAAGTCCCTTAAGTGCTATCAGGGAGGGGGTTAGAATTTCTAGCCTGGCTTAAGCAGCTGAAAGCTCTTGGCTAGATTGCTGTCCGAACCCCGGCCCTGCAGTTCATGAGAATGGGGTGTGGGATAGTTTTTAATAAACATTTGTTGACAGACAGACTCACTATAAGGCTGTAGGATCTGCCACAATCACCAACAAACATTACTTTGGTTTAACAAGTTCCATATGTCACAATTTTCTCTGCTGGCTCAGAGGAACACTGCCAGTTCCTGATTTTAGGTAAGATCAGGCCATGCCTTTAGAGATAGGCTGATGGAAGGTCTAAATATGAATTATTTTTCATAAACATTCATGGAACATGCACAAATCATAAATGTACAGCTCAGCGAGTTATCACAATCAGAACACACCCATGGAACTACTGCTCACAAGAGACAGTGCATACCAGTTCCCCACATGCTCCCATATTCTCCTTCTGATCACTACCTCTTCCTCTCACATGATAGTTCTGCCTGTGTTTTGACTTTTATATAGAAGAAATTGTTTTGTATGTCCTCTTTTGTGTCTAGCTCCTTTTGCTCAACATTATGCTTGAGAGATTCCTCTATGCTGTTTCTTGCAGCTGGAGATTGTTCATTCTCATTGCTGAATATACCACCATTGACTCATCCACTCCACTGCTCACGGACACTGGGTTATTTCCAGTTTTTACTATTACGAATAATGCTGCTATAGATACTCTAAGAAATTTTCTCACTTCGTATTTCTACCTGAGATCCCAATTAGAGAAAGAGAAAGAAAGGCATCATGCTCATTTCTCACTCGCATACTTTAAAATTCCACAGATCTTAATTATGGATTGAATGTTTCTATCACCCCAAATCACATGTTGAAACCCTATGCCCCAATGTGATGGCATCTGGAGATGAGGCATTTGATAGGTGATTAGGTTCAGATGTGGCCATGGGAGTGGAGTCCTCATGATGGGCACAGGCAGAACTTCGGAATGGACTGGACTTGGATAACAAGATGGGAAAGAGTCAAAGATCGACATCAGGTCAGCACCTAGGGGAGTCATAACATCATTGTCGGAAATACAGATGTCAGGAAGTGGGGAGTTTGGGGAGTGAGGGTGACCAGAAGTTGGATTTTAACACCCTTCAGAAAAAAGAAAGCTGGGAACTACACTATTTTACTTATTTTATAAATGGGAAAATTAAGTCAGAGAAAGATGAGTCAACCTGTCCTCAATAAAAACACTAATTCCTAACAGGAGCTGATGTGAGAATTAAGGACTCCTGACTCCCCATCAGGGCATGAAATGAACTGCCATCTTAAAGGACTTCCATTGTTTTCTTTCAAAGGATGATGACACCGAGGATGTATTTCACTGTCCCCTCCTTTCAAAAGTGCCTCAGTTGCGGCATAGCCTTGCCCATGGGGAAGAGAAGATGGTCTTTCAAGAAAGCAATAAAAACATGAGGTATGGTGGCATCTGGAAATCATTTACCAATTAGAGGAGGAGCAACTTCCGGGAGCCAACATGGAGCCCTGGAAGGAATAACAGGTCCAGCAGAAGGTGTGCGGTTTGGGGCCTTGAGTTGGTGATTTGGTCAGAGCTGGGTCATCAGCCCTAAATTGGGGACCCTCAGGGGCACCCTCTGGGAAGCCGCTGCAGCCGGAAGAGGCTCGGGCACTGCGGAGGGGCTGACTGCGTTGCCCACACTTGGGGAAGCAGCCCAGGGAATGTAGGCAGCCAGAGGTCAGTGCGTGGCTGGCCACGCGGATCCGCCACGGATGGAGAAATATCTGGCGCACTGAGGGCTTTGCCCCCTTCACCCTCCAGCGTCTTACCAGAGCTGCACATTTGGCACTGATCTGAGGGATTCAAGTTTTGTTTCCTGGGCCCGTCCCCTGGAGAAGCATCATTGGAAGCCGTGGAATCAGGGATAGAAAGAGAAGGCTGAGCACAGAACCTGGGAAATAAAAAAACTGGCAAGTTGACACTCACATGACGTTCCCCCTCTCTCCTTCTGCTGCCATTGTTCCTCACGCTGTCACCTCATACACCCTCGCCATGACGTGCATATGACCTGCCATGACCTTGCCTCTTCCAGGAAGCCCTCTCCGTGTGCAACGTCCTCCTTGCTCCAACGCGCTCTGCATCCCGCCTAGCACGTTGTATTCTGCTCATCTATCTACAGATCTGTTCCTCTGCCTGGATTCTAATCTCCTGAGGGCAGGGACTCCGCCGTATTCATTTCTGTTTAGTCCACACATCTCAAGTTCTCCACGCTCCTGGTTCAAATGACCATAAGCCAAGCCCCCACTGTGTGTGCATGGATGAAGCCTGAGCCCCCCAAATGCTCTGTGCCTCCCCCAACGTCCCTCTTCCTCTTGCTCCAGGTGCTGCTCTGAGTGATTCTGTGCTAGTGGATGTCCTGTCCTGTCTCTTGTCCCCCACGCCTCTACCTCCTAAGCCTTTGATTCTACATAGTCCAGCTAACAAGAACCCACGATGTCCAATGACATTTTCTTAAACATTGAGGGTGACATTGGGTTAACATCAACCTAGGAACAGAAAGCTTCAGAAAACCAACCTCTCCAGGTCGAATATGGATGCTCCTGAAGTCCTCCCACCTTGCTTTGTCTCTGGGTCTCTTCCTCTGACCATCAGTCTTCTCGATTCTGGCTGGCAGCCACACTCCCCGGGATCCGCTCCAGCCCAAACAAGAATCTCCCATTTAAACCACCCCTCCCTGATGCTGCAGACACTGGAATATCTTCCCATTACTGTGTTATCCTCCCACAAGACCAAGGATGATGGTCTCTTTGTACAAATGGGCTGAGCAGTTCTGCACCTCTCCCAGTTCTGTGCCTACGCCCCCTGCCGTACCTTTGCAGAAGCAAGAAGTCCATTTAATGGATTCAGCGGTACCCCCCCTTCTCTGTGGAGGATACATTCCAAGATGCCTGAAACTGTACATAGTCCCAAACCCTATATATACTATATTTTTTCCTATACATACATACTTATGGTAAGATTAATCTATAAATTAGGCACAGCAAGAGATTAACTACTACAATAATAAAATAGAACAATATACCATAATAAAAGTTACATGAATGTGGTCTCTCTCTCTCTCTCTCTTAAAATATCTTATTGTCCTGCGCTCACGCTTCTTGCGATGATGAGAGATGATAAAATGCCCACATGATGAGAAGAAGCGATGTGCGTGACACAGGCAGGTGACGTAGCATTAGGCGACTATGGACCTTCTGACGATAGCTTGGAACATCATCTGCTTCCAGGCTGGTTGACTGCGGGTAACTGAAACCACGGAAAGCAAAACCCTGGGTAAGGGAGGGTACTGTATTCCAAAGATGTGCCATCCTTACAGGACAGGGGCCGGCTGCAGTTCATAAACCACACTTCCCCATCTTGTGTTTTTTCTCCATCATATTATTAAATTCAGAGCACTTAACAAGGTTGTCTGGGACATACTAAGTACACAATGATGTTGGTTGATTGAATTGATGAGCCTAATTTCCTTCATTATTCAATTTTGGTGGAAGATAAAACAGTATTTGTAACTTGTTTAATGAAATAATTAAGAGAGAGTGGCTACACAAATAGTGGGAAAGTTTTACGTTTATATCTTCTGACTTTGGCATTTATTAAAGCTGGCCAATTGATCATTTTTCAGCAGGCTATAAAAATGCAGTTTATGTCCTCAAAACCAATAAGCTTGTCTGATCCAAGTCAAAGAGCCCAGGCAGAGAGTGGGGGTCAGGAAAATGACCGTGACAGGCATAGGGTTAGAATTCCCTGTCTAAACCGTGGGAAGCCGGGCCTGGCCACAGTTGCGGGGCGTGGGGGTCGGGGCTGGACGGCATTCGCCCATGAACCAGAAAACAGAGCAGAGGGGAAATCAAGAAACAGGAAAATAGAGGGACGCCTGGGTGGCTCAGTTGGTTAAGCGACTGCCTTCGGCTCAGGTCATGATCCTGGAGTCCTGGGATCGAGTCCCACATGGGACTCCCTGCTCAGCAGGGAGTCTGCTTCTCCCTCTGACCCTCCCCCCTCTCATGCTCTATCTCATTCTCTCTCTCAAATAAATAAATAAAAAGAAAAAAAAAATTAAAAAAAAATAAAAGAAACAGGAAAATAGAGTAAAACTTTAGTCAAAGCTAACAGAGTGTCTGAGCCAGTGAGACAACTCTAGGTAGATCACGGGACAGTCTCTGGTACCCAGAACGCAAAGACTGAGGGGGTGAGGGGGAGTCAGAACCTCATGAGAGCCTGGGGGCTGGCTGCTGGGCTGAAACCGAGGGTATTTGCCATGGAGCAGCAAGGACCCAGAGGCCAAGAGAGCTCCAGCTAGTGTCAACCAGAAATGAGTGCTCAGAGTTGGCTTGAAAACTCCGGCAGGCTGCCAAAGACTGGGACAAAACCCAAGTGTCCACAGATAGGAGGATGTACACATAAAGTGGGCTTCACACAACACAGCAACGGAATGACCGAAGTCCAGCTGTGAAAACATGGCCGTTCCTCCCCTACTGGATCCCGAGCAAAAGAACGAGGACACAACGGAGTATGTCGATGGAATTTCATTTATTCAAAAACAGGCAAACAGAGCCTTACCTCTTAGATTTTAAACACATAGGTGGTAAAACTATAAAGAAAAAGGAGGACCTTATTAGACTAAAGAAGATAGTGAATTACCTCCAGAGGGACTCTTCACGGGGTGGATAATACCCTATTTCTTCACCTGGCTGGTGGTTACAAGAGTGTTTGCTTTGTATTTATTAAATTGTCCACATATGTTTTGTGCGCTTTTCTTTGTCAATGCTCTATTTCATAACTTTTAAAAAAGTGAGTCAAAGAAATCAAACAATTTAAAATTCTGCAACCAGTCCTTTTAAGGGAGGGTTCCAGTCATTGCTTCGCTCACCACCCATACCTGCCAATTTAGGCAGGCTCCCCACAGGCAAAACCTGCAGGCTTCTTGGCCCATTTATTAAACCAACAAACACATACCAGGAGCTTACTATGTGCTGGGCGCTGTGCTAGCCCCTGGGGGTTCAGGTCTGCTCCTTGCTCCCGTGGCGTCCGAGTGAAGAGAAAATTATGATACATAAGGCTTCCCTTTCCGCCTAGAATTTCTGGAAGCCCAGAGCTGAAGTTTGGCCTTATTTTTGGTAGCTGTCCCTATCATAGATTTTTGGATATAATTATCTCCCCACTCCCTCCCGTCTGCACCCCTTGCTTCATTATACAAGCTAAGTTTTTACTCATTAGTTTTGCAGGATCTGCCACATTTTACTGGAAGTCACTTCAGATCCTTTCGGGTGGTAGTCAGAGAAAATTAGTGAATAGCGGGAAGCCCCTGGCTCTCCTCTTGTCCTGCTCCCTCTTTGCACACGCCGGGCCCCTCCTTCTCCACTCTGCCCTTCCCCGAGCCTCGGCTTGCCCTTTCTGCCCCTCTCCATAAACCTCCACCCAGAAAGCAGTGCCCGATACTTGAGACATTTGGGGGGACACTCTTACTCTTTATACCTGTCACATTTTCCAATCCCTCAGTGTCAGAAGCCAACATGTGAACAGGCCTTCTTTCTCTTATCCGTCCCCCTCCCCCACCCTCCACCCCCCACCAGCAGAGTAAAGACTTTGGAAAGGGGAGCGGTGAGCTAGAATAGGAGCAGAGTTAATCCTGGATTTGTAGGCTGAATGCTTCCATTACCCCAGCAATAACGGCCTGGAGAGGGCCCTTCCAACAGAGATACACTTTAATTTACCTTTTTGAAACATGCTTCATCAGCTCCCAGAACACACTTCTCGTTGCTAAAAGATATGCTGGCAGGAAGCGTATTTCAAGGGACCAGGAATGCCCGCTGACTTCTGCTGTGGGAGGAGAGGTTATTTAAAACGGCGCCCCCCAAATGGATGCGCTGACTGGACCCCGGGCTTGCCTGGGGAGAATGTGCCTGGGGCCACTGTGGTTAGTCCAGGGCTCATTACAGCTTTTCTGGCATCTTCCCCCAAGGGCTTGTGAAGGGAGGGGGCGCTTCAGACACCAGGCTTTCTTTTATTCCCGTCACGTGATAAACCTATGCAGGCATCTTTGGAATGTGACCCTGCCAAGGATCCTGTTCCCTTTATGACTCCACCAGGCTTCTGGGCCATTTCCAAGACATTATCTGGAGAGAGAAAAATGTTCAGGGAGCTGGACCAAAAAAAAAAGTGCCTTCATTACGTTTAGAGCCATTTTCAGCATGATTGAAATAAGTCTGGGCTGTTGTGGGGAAATGGGCTGAGAGTTCTGTGCCGTATGGCTGGACCCTCTTGAGTTGGAAGAAGATGCCTTCAGAACGACAGTGTCAAGTCCTGAAAATGTGTGCAGCTTCCCCCAAACCACAAACCCTCTAGTGTTCCTGCACACGCACACACAAATGCACACACACACACATATGCATACACAAATGCCCACACTCAGGCCCATGTTCAAACACACAACCCTCTGCCTAAATGGATATATGGACGCAAAGGTCAGAAAGAGAAAGAGAAAGGTGGGAAGGGTATAATAGGAAAGACACTTTTAAGAAAACAATGCCTTTAGTACGAATATCCGGAGAAGCGTAGTAGATCCAGAGTTTACGGGTTCTCTATCATAAAAAGAACGCACTTCCACCATGATAAAATCACATCCAGAGTTTTGGAAGAGGTTGGGGCAAGCGTGCGCTGTGAGGCTTTAGTGATTTTATTTATTATTTTTATTTATTATTTTATTTATTTATTTATTTATTTGTTTGTTTGTTTATTTATTTATTTTGAGAGAGAGAGAGCGTAAGCTGGGAGAAGGGCAGAGAGAGAGGGAGAGAGAGAATCTCAAGCAGGCTCCACGCACAGCACAGAGCCCCATGCGGGCCTCTATCTCACAACCTTGAGATCATGACCTGAGCTGAAATCAAGAGTCGGATACTTAACCAACTGAGCCACCGAGGCGCCCCGCGTTGTATTCTTTTTATTCACATATTTTAAAGCTCTTTTATTAGATGCATGCATATTTAGTATTGTCATGTCCTCTTGAGGAATTGATTCCTTTATCATTAGGAAATAATCTTTTTATTCATGATAACAATATTTCCTCTAAAATCTATGTTTAATATAGGGAATCTAGCTTTCTTTTGGTCACTGCTAGCCCCATTTATCTTTTTCCATCTTTTTAACCTAATTGTGTGTATTAATATTTGAAGTGAGTTTCTCGTAGGCAGCCTATACTTGGGTCAATCTGACAACCTCCACCTTTTTTTTTTTTTTTTAAAGATTTTATTTATTTATTTGACAGAGAGAAACACAGCGAGAGAGGGAACACAAGCAGGGGAAGTGGGAGAGGGGAGAAGCAGGTTTCCCGCCAAGCAGAAAGCCGGATGCGGGGCTCGATCCCAGGATCCTGGGATCATGACCTGAGCCGAAGGCAGCCGCTTAACGACTGAGCCACCCAAGCGCCCCCAACCTCCACCTTTTTTTAATTGGGATGTTTAGAACATTTACATGACATTTAAGTATTTGTATGGTTAACTTTAAATTTATGATATCGCTGTTTGTTTTCTATTTGACCCATATGTTCTTTGTTCCTCCTTTTCTCTTTTCCTGCCTTCCTTTGAATTAATTGAATAATTTTATTATCCCATTTTAGCTCCTTTTGGCTTATTAACCATTACTCTTTGTTTTATTTTAGTGGTGAATTTAGAGTTCAAAGTGTACATCTCTAAGTTACTACAATGTAAGTCCAGGTGATATTAGTCACTTTATCCATAAGTATCTTATCACAGCATGCTTCCATTTCTCTGCTCTCCATCTTTGTGCTTTGTTGCCACACAATTTATTGCTTAAGGATATTTAAGTAATTTTAAGTCCTTCTATAATTACCCATATACATACCATTTTCACTGCTCTTTACAACTTTGTGCAAGCCCACATTTCCATCTGGTGTTATTTCTTTTGGTCTGAATGACTCTTTTAATATTTTTTGTAGTACAGGTCTGCTGGTGGTAAATTCTTTCAGCTTTTGTGTTTCTGAAAGTCTTTATTTTGCTTTCATTTTTTGAGAGATTCTTTTGCTGGGTATGGAATTCTAGTTTAATGATTTTCTTTTTTCTTTCAACATTTTAAAGATGTTGTCCTTTTTTTTTTAAGATTTTATTTATTTATTTGATAGAGAGAGACAGTGAGAGAGGAACACAAGCAGGGGGAGCGGGAGAGGGAGAAGCAGGCTTCCCGCTGAGCAGGGAGCCCGACATGGGGCTTGATCCCAGGACCCTGGGATCATGACCTGAGCCAAAGGCAGATGCTTAATGACTGAGCCACCCAGGGGCTCCTAAAGATGTTGTTCTATTGTCTTCTTGCTTACATTTTTCTGATGAGAAAATTGTTGGCATCCTTATCTTGTTTCTCTGTACATTTTCTTTTCTCTGATTCCTTTAAAATTTTCCCTTTATTGCTGTTTTTGGCAATTGATTATGATATGCCTTGGCGTCATTTTCCTTATTTTTCTTGTGCTTGGGATTAGCTTGTTGAAAAATACAATAAAGTTTGATTTGATTTTTTAAAATATCTTTCATGTCTCTATTTAACTCATTGAACATATGAAATAAATTATAATAAACATTTTATTTTTTATATTTTTAAAGATTTTATTTATTTATTTGACAGAGACACAGCGAGAGAGGGAACATAAGCAGGGGGTGTGGGAGAGGGAGAAGCAGGCTTCCCGTGGAGCAGGGAGCCCAATGTGGGGCTCGATCCCAGGTCTCCAGGATCATGACCTGAGCCAAAGGCAGACACTTAAAAACTGAGCTACCCAGGTGCCCCTATAATAAATACTTAAATGTCCTTGTCTGTTATTTCTAATATCTGTGTCAGTTCTAGATCGGTTTTGATTGATTTTTCTCTTCATTATATTTTACTGCTTATTTGTATATTTGTAATCTTTTACTGGATGCTATATATTGTGAATTTTACCTTGTTGGATGTTGGTTGATTTTGTATTTTTAGAAATATTTTTGAGTTGTGTTCTGGGATGCAGATAAGTTATTTGGAAATAATTTGATCCTTTCAAGTAATTCAATATTTATTAGGTTAAATTGGAGTAGTACTCAATCTGGGCCTAATTTCCCCCCACTTCTAGGGAAAGACTGTGCACTCTACCTGATGCCCTATGAATCAGAGGTTTTCTGGTTTGACTGGTAGGAGCAGGCACTATTCCCAGCCCCATGTGGAGCATGTGCACTCTTATCTGCCTCAGTGAGCTTCCTCACATCACCAGTACTCCGTTGAATACTCAGGGAGACCCTCACTGCAGGACTCCAGAGTCCTCCCTCTATGCAGCTCTCTCCCTTCTCTGGTACTTCGTCTGGTGACTCTGACCACCGTGTTTTCCTATTCTCAACTCCATCTCCTCAGTTCAGAAGGTTCTCCCGGGCTCTGTTTGCGTTCCATCTCCATGTGCCACAGCCTGGAAACTTCCACAGCTATAAGCTGGAACAACTGTAGGGCTCCCCTCCTTTGTTTCCCATCTCTAGGGACCAATGGCCCTTATTGCCTGACAGCCAGTGTCTTAAATACCATTGCTTCATATATTTCATCCTCTTTGGGGATAGTAAGTCTGGTGTCTGTCATCTATCTTGACTAGAAACAGAAGTCCTTCTTTGACTTTTTAATCTCATTTTATAGATGAGGAATCTGAGACTTCGAAGGATTAAGGAATTTGCTCAGGGTAATTCAGCTTGAAGCTGGGAAGTTCATGTTCATATTTGGGCAGTCCAGTGCCAGAGCCATGCTTTTAAGAGTTACTACTCTCGGGCACCTGGGTGGCTCAGTCAGTTAAGCATCTGCCTTCGGCTCAGGTCATGGTCCCAGGGTCCTGGGATCAAGTCCCACATCGGGCTCCTTGCTCAGCAGGGAGCCTGCTTCTCCCTCTCCCTCTACCCCTCCTCCCTGCTCGTGCTCTCTCTCTCTCTCAAATAAGTAAATAAAATCTTAAAAAAAAAAAAAAGAATTACTACTCTCTACTGCTTCTGTGGTCCACATGGTCTATGTAGATGACCTTATTCCATATTTGCAATAATATTCTAGAGTAAGCATTGTTATTCATTTGTGTGCTTAAAAAATATTTGTTGAGGGTCCTCTACATGCCACACCAATTCTAGGTGCTAGGAATGCAGCTGTAGGCAAGGTTTACTCAAGTCCTCTGACCTGTTAGAGCTAACATTCTAGCAGAAGGAAGAGACAGCACACAAGGCAAAAGAGTAAATAATAGAGCATGTGAGGCAGCAATATTCTAAGAACCATTTCAAACAGGGAAGAGGTATAGTGTGTGTGTGTGTGTGTGTGTGTGTGTTCGTGAAAGGGGATGGCAAGGCAGAGAGGGAGTTCAGGGAAAGCTTTACCAGGAAAGGAACATTTGCATAAGGACAGGAAGAAGTTTAGGGAGCAAACCATGAAGGAAAGAGCTGTTGGTATTTTATAGTGATAACAGTAAAAGGTATAATTAGTGAAACACCTGTGATAAGGGCTTTACGTGTACTATCTTCACACACAAAATGAAAAAGTTATTTTATTTCTAAAAGATAAATATATTTATTGGGTTTCTTAAGTTATTGAAAGTAGATGCTGGTTATAAAACAAAAATAAAGCCACATAGAAACACATGTAAATACAAGGTGAATATCTCCTTGTAATTAATCTCTTCTTATTCTCTCCCCCACATTCTCCTTGAGATAACCTTTATTAACTGTTGGATGAATCTTTCTATGCATTTGTAAACATACATGTGTAAAGATCCACATAAAATGGGTTTGTGATGTACATGCTGTCCTAGAACTTAGTCTTAGTCCCATTTCCTAAATGTGTCATGGACACATATACACATATACAGACTTTATCTTTTTCCACATTGCATACTTTATTTAATTCTTTGGGTTCAAATTTAGATTATGAACAATGTTTCGCTATTATACAAAATGCTACAAGAGACATCTTGCCCA